TTCGCAATCGGAGACATTCGATCGGAGCAGATCAGTGGATCGGAGTCAAATGTTTCCACATTTTGGCCACATCCTTTGAAGGAAATTTCTTATATTTGCCAATATTTGCCTCATTTTGATGAATTAATAACTAAAGAAAAGTTAGATTACAACTAAATATCGCAAAAGCTTTATAAATTATTTGTCTAAGTTGAAACATTCATTGCCTTTAGCTTTTTAGGAAAATATATTTGCGGGAATGACAACAACAACTAGGGAGAATTTAATACTATTGTAGTGAAAGATTAAGTGGAAACAGCTTTCACAACTGAGTGGAGTGGTTACAAAGCAGGAGTTGGTTGAATTTATGGTGCTTGAGTAAATGGTGTTTTTATGGTCATGGTTTGATGGAACAAGAATATTTGCTAAATGTAATGAACGTGTAAACGCTAAATGAATGTGTTTTTAAATGGTGTTTTTTCAACAGTACTTACGTGTAGCAATGAAGTGGCAAGAAGTATACATTTTATATCAATTCCAAAGGTGAAAGGTCACTATCGGGCCCCATTTGGTAAATAATAACCAAGGGGGTATGGCATTGATACAGAGGAGGGTCAATTTTGATGAAACATGGCAGAAAATATCCGATACAGTTGAAGCAGTCATATGCTTGAAAAAGGTTACAACAAAAGATTGGAATGAAAGATTTACATATCCTTTCTGGTTATATGTTTTATATGCATGAGATCATGCCTTATTTGCTCTATGATTCATTGGTTGCACCAGTTCATTCTAGCTTTGCCTCTTCCAGTGCTATGTGATACCCCAGATTGGAAAGTTTGCAAATGTGCAGCCTACTTTAGCCCTGACACATAGCCTGGAACATTTGGAATTGTGCACCCAAATTTCAAAAATTTAATAGTGAAAGAAAACATCAAAATTGTGCACCCAGTATCTCAGTTGCACCATATATACAAACTTTTCACACTGGGATTTGGAATTACTTTTTTACATTGTCAAGATGTCTGTACAGTATATTATTATTACACAATTATTTCCATTACTATAACTAATCTACTCGTTCAAGGTGATCAGTAGCGTTAAACCAGCCCGACAATTTAGTTCCGCTATGCAAATTCAAAATTATCATCATTATTCATTTCTTTAGAAATTGATTATTTTCACAGTCAATGAACACGAAAATATTTGCATATCGGGACTAAATTGTCAGGCTGGCTATGCTACTGGCGCAATGTGAAGTAGCGGGGGCAGCATTTAAAAATGCCACTTCTGAGCCTTACAGTGAAAATACAAAAAGTCTCCCCCTTCCGCTTCTGTAGTTTGTTGTGATTTACTGTAATTTGTTCTGTTTTTCTGTAGTGATTACCGATTTATCAGCAAAATCTGCAATGCAATTTAAATTTTGTACCTTTTATGCAATAAAACTGGGACAAAAAAGTGTTAGTTCCCTTTGCTGCAAATTATATTTAAAAATAGAGAGAACTAAGTTTTATTGGTCCTAAAAGTCAGTCCCCAAACATTTATGTATTAATATTGTCGGGCCTGATTTGATCCAAAACAGATGATCATATTTGTGCATGCAATATGTCTAAAAGAGATAAAACAAATACAATGGATGCAAATTGTTAATAGACAAATAGCAAAACCCACAGAATTCCCGAGTTTAACGTCATTGAGTGGCCAGCAGCACTCTCCCGCTGGCGAGTAAAATTGTCTGGCATTAGAGAAAGTAAAAAATAAAGTAGGGCACATCTGGGTACATTGCCACTGAAAGGGTTAACAGGGTGCATAGGCAGATAGTCTGATTAACCCATTGAGTGGTAGCACTCTCCCCCTGACAAGTAAAACCGTCTGGTGATAGACAGACTAAAATTGTAAAGTAGGGTGCATATCTGGGTGCATTGCCACTTAAGGGGGTAACAGGGTGCATGCCATGTGCAGATAGTCTGATTATAACCCATTGCAAAATAATAAAGTAAGGGACCGTTCATTAATTAAGGACCAGGGGGGGCTGGAGGAAAATTAAGGGGGGGGCCTTTAAAATTTTTTCAGCATGAAAGGGGGGTTGCAAAAATTATTTGTGGTAATTATTAATTTTTTTATGTTGACCAGTATGGTTATATTAGTCCGGAAAATTTTTTAGACTATGCTTATTTTCGTCTGGAAAATATTTTTATATATATATATAAAATATATATATAATATCATATAGCTGAAAACCACGGTAATGTTCCATTGTTCCGTAAAGAATTTCAGATTCAAATTTGTGCTAAATTGTTTAAAACAGTTCTCAATTTCAAGTCATGTGAATAATTAACGAAGGGTAGTTCTTTTAATGAAGCCAAGTACCTGCTGTCCCCACACTGTTTGGATCGACAGTACCGCTCACGTCTATCTTAACATCGTCCGTCTGTCTAATGCCTATTTTACAAATAGATAAGATTTTGCCGTTGTCTGTTCAGTTAGGCGTAAAAAAATACCTATGGTTCCGGTTTCATATCACGAAAAAATTAGGGTCAGTAGGTCGGAAATAATTTTTTTTTTTTGAATATTTTTTTCATGGTTTTTTCAATAATTAGTGTGACAACAGACGCCATTTTGGCAGCAGCCCGCAACCACCCGGAGAAAATAGGGTCGCACGGTCAATCGTGTTGAAAAAATAATAGGGTCGGCAGAAAAAAATAGGGTCGGTCGGGAACCGGAACCACAGGTATTTTTTTTTACGCCTTATAGATACACAGTATGACGTCATAATGTGGGAAGAAAATTGGCTCACGAGACGCCGAGTGGGTCACTCTTTTGTTCTTCCCACATTATGACGTCATACTGTGTATCTATAACTGAAGTTACTGAACAGACAACGGCAAAATCTGATATATTTGTTTTATACAGTACAATAAAAAGAAAAACCCCGAATTAAACAGGTAAATAGCTTACTTTTTATCCAACCAAACATTTGGAAATTTGAAAAAGTCGAAATTTTACAAATATTCAAGTAAGGGAATGATGCTATTGGCTTAAGTCATGTCACGTGTGACGTAATTCCGTGCGTCGGTCCTCTAATAGATCATGGCTCTCGACCAATGAAAGCGCTTGAATTTTTAACGTTATTATATAATTGTCTATCGTCCGTATAACGTCTGTTCGTCTAACGTCTATCGTTCTTCCTATCCTGTCTCTCATCGTGCATTTCTTTAATAGTCTGTCATTCTTGATCTGCTTATTCATATGTTAAATGACGCATTGTATGCAGGGCCGGATTAACCACGTGGCAGATGCGGCATATGGCACGGGCCTCGCGCTTATGGGAGCCTCGCGCTTTACTGTGCCACGCCCATTTTTACGAGAACACGTCCATTTTCTATTGGGACACGCCCATTTTAGGTGCCTCGCGAATTTAGGGACCTCGCGCATTTAGGGCCCCTAGGTTTCCATATTGGGGCCCTGCGCTGAAAATCTGCCACGGGTCTGCGCGACGTTAATCTGGCCCTGATTATATGTGCCGATCAACAATAATGAAACCAACTGAAAGGAAGCTTATATTGACAGAACCCAAAGCTTTGACCTTTGTGCAATGATACAGTCAAACGGCATGGGTTTTTGCCGGATAATAAATGTCAAGGTTGATGGTGGTTAGTCTCAGTATAAAACCATTTTGATGGTGGTATAGTCTCTATAAAACCGTATTGAAATGATCTCATTAGGCAAGCGTTCGGCAATTTTGTCATGTACAGTAATGAGACCTGGGAAAGTACTGGTGAAAGTACTGGTGAAAACGTCAGTACATGTATTTCGGTAAAGAAATTTAGAACACTACAGTAATATCATTTGACCTTTTGATTACGGGATTTTCCCTTGAATCCTTGGGGCAATAAATAGCTGCGGCACCGAAATAGATAGATAGGCATAGACAACCAGATTCAGAGTATCTGATTATATGAACGCTCAGACGAAACACGGAGACGACACAGTGACGTTAGACACAGAGACGTTAGATACAGATACTATATAGACTCTGAGACAATGCGGGAGACGTTTATAGACGATAGACGATAAATTGTGTTAAGATTGACGTGAGCGGTACTGTATTTTAATTAAGTTCTTTGTATGTTTGCATGGTGATAAAATATATAATAGTTTTGTTTGTGGAAACACCACGTAAATTTATTACTGCAAAGCTTTCGATCCGTAATATTATTAGCACTGATGAAGATCCGGGCTTACGGATCGAAAGCTTTGCAGTAATAAATTTACGTAGTGTTTCCACAAACAAAACTATTATGTATTTTAATTACTGTTTTTCTTGTTTCTCTAAAATGCTTCATAACTAAAAAAAGGAAGTAAAAACCCACTGACCACTTTCTGAGTTCCTGATTGGCTGCAGGTTAGCTGCATCCGTATGAAGCTTCATTCATCTTAAGAACTGCACGACAGTCTTGCATATTGTTTGAATCTAAGGCAATTCAATAATTCCTAATTTTGGGAAGACAAAAAAATAGTTTTTTAAAATTAGTAATCAGTTATACCAATATCCACCTCAGCCTAGATCTAAGTTATTTTTAATGCAGATTTATTCATTGGTTTAATGTAGTACATTATACTGTATATATTATTCCTTAACCAAACCTTAAAGATGTGTACTCAATGTGTGTTGCCTATCCTGAACCTCTGGTGGAAAGATTGTATACGGAAGTTAAGAATTTACTCACATCACATGTG